AACCAAGTACCGATTGCTCAACAAATATGTAGGAGAAAATGGAGGTGGACAGAGCATACGCCATTGAGGAGGCCATCAAATGACATTGCGCGAAATGCAGGCCATTGGTGTCGAGTGGGAGGTGAGTGGGGGAAGCTTCTAGCGGGTTGTCAGTGCTAGGATGACATAAAGGAGATCGTGTGAGTTGGAGGAGGGGATGAGAGATTTATTGGGAGTCGTGGAGCTAGCCAGCTGAAGAGGACAGCAGAAAATAGAAGAAAGTGGAGATGTGTTGTTGAAGCCCACCTATGTTCCACTTGTAACCAAAGGGAACAATAAATTAGTCTTGTAATAAATTTCGATTTCTTCCCTAACGCCCACCTTCTGATGCTTCTTTTCTCTTCCATTTCTCATTATGATTATTTATATGAGAACTTTCCTTTTATTATTATTTTGTAAACTAGATCCAAGTATATTATTCGACCATCTCATACTGAACTGGAAAGTGAAGTATTTCATTTACGTTATAATTCAGCGTTGAATATTTATGAACGTCCTTCATATAATAAAACAAATACTACCAATGAATCGACTGGTAGTAGTGGTAGTAGTGGTAATTGTTCAACAAGAGTTAAACAACAACAACAATCATCATCATCATCCAAATTGATTGAAAATGCACGAAAAAATGGTCTGTATGGATGGCAATCTTTAGTTTATGAATGGAAGAATATTTTTCGAAAGGTTAGTTATATTTCTAGAGAAAAAATTAAGAGTTAGATCATGGATTCATATCAGTTAGAGAGAGAGGGAGAGAGGTGTTGAAAACCATCAGGGGAGTACTAGACAACTACTAGTTGTTTCGTCCTAGTTTGGGGCTCTTCAGTCAGGACGAAACAAATGGGCAATAAACGGAATATTCCCCATATTGAGTCATAAGAAAAAGGCACAAACAGCGAAGAAAATTTTCTTTTCGACGATTCATTTTCATGAGCTGTACAATCGTAATTATATTTAAAGAAATCATAAGACCAATCAGATACTCGTAAACTTTGTCCGCGTAAAATGTATTCCATAATGTAAGGTGTAAGAAGGAATGATTAATTGTAAGTTAGAAAAGAGGCGGAAGTTGGCATGGCGTAATAAGTGTGAGATAATGACTAATCAATAATCTCGTGTAAAATGGACAGGAACTAGTGGAAACGCTATAAAGTGTTTTTGTGTAAAATATGTATGAAAAGCAATGTTATTAATAAACAGTAATAGAGTGGTAATAAAATGTGGATGATGGGAATAATAATAATAATAAAAGTATTAATAAAATAAAATAATAATAGTAATAATAGTGAACTTACATAATAAAGGAAAGAAGCAAAATTGTAGTAAGAACTTTACTCTGGCCATGGTAGGGCAAGAGAATGTATGTATCGCTTTTGGATGTAGAGGTCCGGTTTCAGATCTTGAATAGCTAATGATTCAGCTATGTACAGATGGCGTATCGGAAGTCCCTTTGTACGATATTGAGGGACTCTGTGTAGCACTGTGAAGCATCCATGCAAGTGGGAGTGCTCGATGTCCAGAGATGACAAGGTGTTCGAGGATCGAGCTGTTGCTATTCTTCTTTTCTCCTCTGGATAACCAAGCTGGGCAGTGTTCCAGAATACGTTTGTGGACTTGGCGTGGCGTACGGCCAATATACTTTGCTCCACACGAGCAAGTAAATTGATAAATACACATTGAAGTGGTCAAAAGCGGTATCTTGTCCTTAGCGTTAGACTGGATTAACTGTCTGCAGGAGAATGTGATACGTAGAGTGGCTGTTGGAAATGTCTTCTTCAGACATTTAGAAAGGCGGTTTCTGAGAATTTCCTCTGCGACATCACCTTTGATGGTTTTCAGTGGCTCTCTATAATTGATACCAATTTGTGATTGAGTTTGGCAAGGCACAAATCCCTACAAATTAACTCTTAAAAATTAATCTTATGCTCACTGGTGATTGGTTACGAGACGAAGTTACTTGGAGTTCCAGTGAGATATGGCGTGACCCGACCAGTGGGGTCGGAAGTGAAGACAATTACTTACGGACGGCATTAGTTAGTTAGTGGTCGTGCTAAAATCACGAATTAGTAGAAGTTTGAATCGATCTGCTGTTGGATTCCATCCAAATGGCTGAATATTCTACGAGCTCGCCTTGTAACTGGAATTTCCTGGGTCCGAACCCCGTTTTTGTGTCGTACTGATAAAGAGTCCCAAACCAGGGGGAAACAGAGCTATCCCAGTACTTCCCGTTGGTTTTTCAGTATTTCTCTAACTGACATCAATTTGTGGTAAAACTTGAAATTTATGTTTTTGTTTAGTTTCGATCCAACTTTAATCTTTTTACATCGTAATCAGTGTAAAATATTTGTAGGAATGGTGAAAAATCCTTTTTCCCTCATTTGAATGTGTTCTGTTTTCGGAAATTGTTACATCCTTCCCACTACCCTCGTGACGAGCAAACTATGGATACAAGTATTGGTTTGTAGGGATTCGATTGATTGGTTACAGTAGCGTACGGTAGGTTGCCTCCAAAGCCTCAGGATGGTCGGGGGTGGGTGCCTTGCGCCGCGGGTTGGCCACCCCTCCGCACACCTCTTGAAATGCTCCCATATGACTGGGCGTCTTACATAGCCTCTCCTGAGGAAGTCCTACTCACTGCCTTCACGTGGCGGAGGTGTTTCTCACCAAAGTGAGAGGGCGAAAGCGGATGCCCGGCGCTCTTCACCGGGTTGACTGTCCATTGGATGACAGTCTAGGGGAGATAGCTAAACCCTGATTCCAAACCTCCAACGAATGGCGTATGAAGCTCACCGGAGCTCACCGGCAGACGTGTGGACAAAGGGCTTGTTGGATGTCCTGGATGTCTGGCCCCATTCAAAAAGGCGTATGAACCGAACTCCGGTCATCGGCTGCCAATGGATAGTGGACTTCCTACTCCACTCCTACTGCCTTGTAGGTCACACTTGGTTGTGTAAAGGCTAGAGCTGCACTCTCAAACAAAAGGCCGAGCGATTCTGGGGACATCACTCGTACCAAATTCCCATGAAACTTCATGAACTCTCTTACAAACGACTCTCCGCGTCTGGGCAGTGATGATTCGAGATGTTCATGAAGCCGGCTCATCCTCCCGTAGGAGATAGCCGTTGTAAAGTAAAGTAAGTAAGTACGGTAGGTTGGGCGGGAGGACATATACTCGCCAGCGATGACATTAGCTAGTGATCGTGCTATGTCGTGAATTGCCAGAAGTTTGAATTCATGGGCTGGTCATTGGATCGAGTCCCAGTGACTTAATGGTCTACGAGCTTGCCTTGTAACCAGAAGGTAGTGGGTTCGAACCCTGGTGGTGGGTGCGTACTGATGGACAGTCCCAAACTAGGACAACACAGCTGTCCAGTATTCCCATGTTTTCCGATGGATCTGTAACCGATATCCAGTAATGATGAAATCCCGCAAATAAACTACGGATTGCCTTATATATATATATATATATATATATATATATATATATATATATAGGTGACGTAGAAGAGATTGCATGAGCGAGTCTTTGAGAAACAGACATTGTGCGAGGGCTGATAATACTGTCTCGTCACCCTAGGCTGAAGTAAGTAGGGCGAGATTCGAAATCCGGCAACCATCGGCTGAAAGTTTGAGTGTTTAAGCCAATTAGCAGTAGTCTTCCGGGTTACTCCAATTTATTTTAAATGATTTCATTCTTATGATAATATCATCGAAGTATAATGACATTACTACTGACAACTAGATCTTGTTGTGTTAGTTGCCGATGGAATACACTTTTCCTTTTTATTTGTTCAAAGCTCAAAGTTATTCCTAACATAAGCAGTCTGACTGACCAACGGAGTTTTTTTCTTTATATTCCTTTACGTTCTTAGTGGAACATAGGGCTTCAAGCTAGAGGCTTGAAGTTTCCGTAGCAGTGGTGTTTACTTTCATGGGATGGGGTTGCTAGCCTCATGCCCACAAGCTTCCCTCTCTACTAGTCTTATTACTGGTTTGGCGAGGTGAAGGAGTGCATCCGTGGCCGGGGATCGGACCCCAAAACACATGAAGCGTGGTTAGCTAGCATCCTACCTCTCTGCCATCGGCGCGACTAACGGAGTTAGCAACATCGAACTTTGCTCAAAAGTACAGCAGTTCAAGCCATACCACTCGATGTAGAGAGAAAAGAAAGAAATTTGAAGCTGTGACCAGTAGGGTACAGCAGGTTGAAGTTGAGGCAGTAACTCATCCAAGAAGACATTGTGAAGTGGTCGCGCTATATCGTGAATTGGCAGAAGTTAGAATTCATGGACTGGTCATTGGATCGTTTGGGACCCAGTACCTTAATAGTCTATGAGCTCGCTAACCTTGTAACCAGAAGGTCGTGGGTTCGAACCGTAATGGGTTGGGTGCGTACTGATGAAGAGTCCCAAACGATGCTGACGAAGCGGTTGGCAATCCAGCACTCCCTGCAAGTTTTCTAATGGTCTCTAACTGATGTCAGCTCACGATAAAATCCTTCAACCAATCAAATTCGAAGGAACTATAATGAGCAGAGAAAAAGAACAGTAATATAGAAAAATGGGTATGGGAGATTACAAAGAGTGAATGCATTCACTCCTTGGAGAACGATTTGATTCATATCACCAAGAGTCTCCAACCATTGATTATTAGGGCCCCGAAGATACCCCAACGAAACAGTTTACAGTTCCTTGTGTGGTGGCTGAAGTCAACCTGACTGATACCATGTTTTGGTCTGATCACTTAGATCACTAGGTGACATCAATCAGAGAATCGTTGAGAACCACTTAATACTGGTTAGCTGTTTCGTACTAGTTTGTGACTTGAAAATTAATGTGATTCACACTAGTTACCAACTACAGACTAAAGTTGCTCGAAGTTTTAATGAGAAATTGTGACTATTTGGAATCCACCAAGTCGGGTGTCAGAAGGTATACTCACCAGTGACATTAGCTGCCGGTGGCGCTATATGTATATCTTTTGATTTTATAACTTGGAGGTATTGGATTTCATCCATGGAGGTGCTTTGATGGGTGCGTACTCATGAGGAGTCCCAGACTAGGACGAAACAGCTCTTCAGTACTCCTTGGTTTGCAGTGGATCTTTAATTGATGTCAGTTTTTGATCTGACCCGATTTCACAAGTAACTTTGAACATTGAATTACGGAGTCGATGTTTTTAATTGTCCGTCTTATTTTCTTCAATTTTGTTTATTTCTTGGAAAACACACAAAGGTTGAATTGGATTGGCATATGGTTTACTTAGCCCGTGAAGAAGACAGTAATCCAACTGATGAGGGAATAATCACATGGATGTTAGATTTAAGAGATACTGATTATGTAGTTGACAAAGTAAGTTCTACTTAGTGATTGTTTTATTTTCATAATGGTATATTACACTACTGATTAATTCATATAAATGAGTAGTTGGATACGGCTGACATCAACCAGTAATGCTTTCTAACTAGTTGCAAGTGGTCCAAACACTGAACGGTGATTTTGCTCGTTGCGGATTGAGCTCATCAGCAGCAGCGTACTCGCAGTTGAATCAATTTAAAGCACTCGGGTTATGGTTCAGTCACTTAGACGGAATCAAAAGGTAATCAAATCAAGGGAAACTGTGAGCGAAGCTTCACCTCCAACTGTGTGTGTGTCATTTACAAATTGGGAATTCGGGACTCCCAA